TGCTCAAACGGGCCTTCAGGGCTAGGTGGTCCAACCATGACACTGCTTCGGCAGTAATCCGGTCCACCTCCACACCCGCCGCAAAGATCAGATCGAGCATGTGACCAGCCCGATGCGTAGGGGCCGATACGAGATGCGAGAGTCCCAGCGCCGCCATGGACGACACCAGGTCCGTAGCCCGGCTGGAGGCCGCGTCCTCAGCGTGGAAGTTGAAATCACCCAAGACCATCAATCGAGGGTGATCCAACGCCCAGCCTGATACGGCCTCCAGCAGGGACGGCAGACTATTGGCCGGTGCATTAGGCGGTCGGTACACCAGCCAAATCGCCAAACTCTCTTCGGCCCCCAGCAGCACACCGACACATTCTATGCCCGCGATCTCCACGGTCGGGAGTGCCCTGAAGGAGTAAGCCTCCCGAACGAGAATAGCCACCCCTCCCCCCGCCCCCGCTTCCGCGATTGGTGAAGGACCGAGGAACCCGGGGAGGCCAGCTGTGTGAGAGCCAAAGTCTCACATTCCCTCACCCAGGTCTCAGTCACGCACACCAGGTCCGCTTGATGTTCCGTCACATGATCCCTTAAGGTAGTGACTTTGTTGTTAATGGACCTGGCATTACACAACACCAATGACTGAGGGGGGTCAATCCTGGCCCCACTGCCAGCCACCCTCGGGATGGGCCGTAGGCTGGAAGGACACCGAGCTCTCTTGTTTCTCAGTGGCCTTCCATTAACACTCTGCCTAGGCCCACTGCTAAACTTTCCCCTCCCCAAGAGCACCGGAATCTGCTGTTCAGACATGCTGTTGTAATATTCAATGGCTGTCCCCAAGGGTTCAGACCACCAATGCACTACACAGCAAAGTCTGCTCAAATTAGCAGCAGGCACACGTCACCAATCCTAACAGTACAGTTGTACTTACAATTACAATATTAAGGCTGCACAATACAACATCATTAATATCAGGTCAGCTAATCCTTACACGACAATCACCTTCACCAACAATACATACTCCCAGCCAACCAACAACATTCCACTCCCAACACACACCAACAGCCAGACTAATCACCATCTACACATACTGCAGACATCATTCCCACATTGGTGACTCCCTCGCACTTCTCTCCTTTGTTGTACCCCAGAGGGCTATATTGAATGCAGTCCTCTGAGTGCGAGATTCCCTATACTGTCCACCATTATTATTAAGCATTGAGTGCATATATTAAGCATTGGGTGCAGTCAGACGGCATGCTGGGAGCGGTTTAAATTGCTCCGGTCCCAATGTGTGTTTTTTTAACCTGGAGAATCGCAATCACACTCTCCTCCTTGTTCTGAATCGCTGTGCAGCCACATCGCTCCCTGCCGCCCACAAGCGGGACCGTGCGTCGGGTTTTTTCCTCTTTCAGTTTGGGCATGCGCACAGGCGGCCTTCTGCAGAATTAAAATTTTCGCGTGTGCGCAGAACAGCGATTTCCACCTCAACCCAACTGCTGTAATACTTCCCTTTAAACTTTAAAGGAACACGTCCCCTTTAAACTTTTACTCCGAAACTGGCCTCCATGAGATCCCGAACTCGTCTAACCAACAAAACTAGGCACCGTTTAAACATTGTTTTTAATAACCCGGGAGTGGAGCTCCGCCTGTGTGCATACCGCCAATGCTAAAATAAAATGGCGGGGGATGGCGGGCGAAGAGCGGAAGCCTCGGGCTTCCGAGCGGAAGTGGCTCGACACCGCAGGAGCGATCAGACGTCAGATAAGTGCTGCTAGAACCGGAGAATCAGGAAAACACCACTTGAGGACCTGGTAACAAAATACTCCATTTGAAAGGGGGGTTTGAGCTGGAAAGCGACAGCTGGGGACGGTGCGCAGATGTTGGGTGTGTGAACGTGGATATAAAAATCCGTTACTGAAGCGTGCCGAAAGCGGACTAAACGGCCCGTCTGAACGCACGCACTAACTTGCTTTTCCTATAAAAAACAGTGTTTTATTCCCATGCAAATATATGCCAAGTGAATAGATCAGTGGCCCCCAATGTGGTACCCACCAACACCTTTCCTGGTGCCCGCCGAATGTTTTTAGAAAGTGGGTGGGACCAGGTGGAGTTTTTGCCCCGCAACATTCCTGACTGGCTATTGGAGATTTGATTGGGTGTGCAGATTTTTAAAAACACTGGTTTGGCTGCAGCTGCCACCACAGCACGAGAATCTTCACTGAGAGACTGAAAGTAAGCTATGGCAGCCATACTGTACCTCCTGTAGCAGCCATGTTGTGATAGCCATTTTGTGCCTGAACATAAGAACATAAGAGAAGCCAATGTTGGATCAGGCCAGTGGCCCATCCAGTTCAACACTCTGTCACACAGTGGCCAAAAATACCAGGTGCAATCAGGAAATCCAGCGGTGGGGCCTGCTCCCACTCCCCTGTGTCAGAATTTTAAAAGCGCCCACAAGGCTCAGAAAGGTTGGGAACCCTTGGAATAGATTAAAGGTAAAAGGTAAAGGTTCCCTTGCTCAAAAGCCAGTCGAATCCAACTCTAGGGTTGCGGTGCTCATCTCCGTTTCAAAGCCGAAGAGCCAGCACTGTCCGAAGACGTTTCCGTGGTCATGTGGCCAGCATGACTAAACACCAAGGCGCACGGAACGCTGTTCCCTTCCCACCGAAGTGGTCCCTATTTATCTACTTGCAATTTCTTGCTTTCGAACTGCTAGGTTGGCAGGAGCTGGAGCTAGAGATGGGAGCTCACTCCGTCATGCGGCGCACCCGGGTCTCGAACTGCTGAACTACCGACCTTCCACAGCCTGCAGTTAAACTCACACCATTAATTGATTGAATAAAGACTGCACATAAGCCTTAACTATAGGTGCATCCCAGCCTTTCTCCAAGGAGCATAAAACAGCAGTAAATAGTTTCCCCCTTTTATCCTCACAATAATCCTGTGAAGCGAATTACAACAGGGTTGCTTCCTCATAGCTTGGACAGGAGCCAGACTGGCACCTTGACATTTCTCATTAAACAGCAGCTGTGACTCCCCCAGCCTATTCTCTACCCAAAGCTGTTATCTGACATTTCTCATTAAACAGCAGCTGTGACTCCCCCAGCCTATTCTCTACCCAAAGCTGTTATCCAGCCTCTCACCGGCAAATGGGGATCTACTCACCACACTGGGTGGAATGGCTGTACAGATGACAGCACTGCCTTGCCTTTTGCTGCTGTGGGTGATTTAAAGGGGTTTGGCCTGCAAGGCAACAGGCCCAAGGTCACCCAACAAACTCCCAAACTGAACAAAGACGTGAACCCCTATTTCTCTGGGCCAAGTCTAACACTTTAAACACGCTGGCTGTCCAAAGCAGAAGGCAAGAACTGAAATGAGAGGGAATGTCTTCTGCTGGTCCCCATCAGCACAGAATTCAGGGGTCTTGGGAATTTCAGCGCCTATTACAAAAGTTTTAAAATAGTGTATGGAGGAGTAGAGTTATACCTTTTACAGCCAGTCGGATCATCATACTGAGCTTTTGAAAGAGGCGGCTCCGAGCCATATCCTTGGGTCCCTTGATGTGTTTGACTTTGGACCACTTGTTGTGTCCAGCAAACAAAGCGCAAGAGGCATGGATGGTGCGGCTGGGGGGGTCCAGAAATGTCCAAAGGTGTCGGCGAAAGAGGACGTTCACCCGCATGAGGGTGGCGCCTACAGACATGGCTTGGGTGGGACAAAAAGAAGATGTACATAATCAGATCTTGGAAGTGGCAAGCCATCCATGAAATAGGTCATCCGTTAGTGTTCCCCTTTTGAACACTTCACACTTGCTGCTTTAAACCAGAGTAGGCACAACGAAGCTCCTGGCAAAGAGCAGGGAAACCTTGCTTCAAATCCTGCTTCCACTATTCAAGGGACTTCGCAATCTTCGCTCTGCCTATCTGCAGGGTGAGAATAATAGTGGCCTACCTTGCAGGGTTGGTGTAAGGGTAATAAGACAAGGAACACTTTCTTTGAACTAAAAAACCACTATACCAGACAGTGCTCAGCATTATTATTAAAATCTGGAATCCATTGTAAAATAAATAGAAATCGAGCCACAAGGATCCAGAAACCATTCACAGAAAGTACATAAGCTCTTATTAGGGAAATCGGTTTAAAAATGAATCACCACATCTGCAAGACAGAGTTTAAGCCTTACAAAGGCACGCACAGGTACAAACATCGCATCCATCCCTCTCCTTCCAGTAAAGAAACCTGCAACAATTCTCTAGCCCTGCTTTGGTGCTCACGAATAGGGGAAGGTCGAAGTCTCGCTTTCCCCATAAACGTGCACTGCAAGATTCAGAACGGGACATCCGCCTGCTTGTGACTAATGAGCTTTAAGGGGTAACCGGTCTGCTTCGTGAGTTTACGTGCGCACACGTAGCAAACCCACGAGTCCGGTTTCCAGAATCTGTCATTTCTAAGCCCCCCCGTTTCCCTCTCCCAGAGAACCCACCAATTCTGACTCACCCTCCAATAGCTCTTACAGTGACCCCCAGAATCCTTCCGGTCCTGGCCCCGCCCCTACGCAGGGGGCAGTGCCTGGAATTAACCCTTTCGTGCCGACACATCTCCAGTAAGTCCTGTAAAGGAGACCCCGAGATTCGCAAATGTTTATGGGCTTGTCTTTAAGGCGCCACCGGACTCCTGTACTAGTATTTCGCTTTTACAGACTGACATGTGTGTTTTATTATCTTTTAAGAGGAACGATAAACACTCGATAGGGAGCCGAGGCTCGTGTGGGCAGTCACCGAGAAAAAGGATTTTAGTGAAGGGAACAGATATTGAGATAGATCAAGGTGGGTAGCCGTGTTGGTCTGAAGCAATAGAACACAGTTTGAGTCCATTGGCACCTTTAAGACCAACAAAGTTTTATTCAAGGTGTGACGATGAAATGGAATTACATATCATAGTTGTTTGTATATATAAGAGTGGTTTGTTAAATTGTTAAATTTAACAAACCACTCCTATAATTCCATTTAGCGTCTGATGAAGTGTGCGTGCACACGATAGCTCGCACCTTGAATAAAACTTTGTTGGTCTTAAGGGTGCCACTGGACTCTAACTTAGTTCCACTTGAGGACATTTCTGCAATCTGATGTGGGTTTAAACCAGGGCGGGGGGAGGCAGGGTCTCATGTGGACAGGTTGGTTTTTTAAAAAAAAATCAGTGACCAGCTTGTGTATTAAATAGATGTCTGAACACAGACCCAAGGAAGGCTAGGTCCCAGACCGTGAGGCCAATAGGCCTCTCGGTTACTGTAAATAGCCTATCAGGAAGTGGGGGTGTGTTGTGGTGGTGGGTTCTGAGGGAATATAAGCCGGCCTGCGAGTCGGCCAAAGTGTCTTGTTCCTGACTGAATAAAGTATGCTTAGCTGAAATCACTCTCCATCTGCATACTTTTCAACAAATAAGGGGGCAGTGGAAGCATAAAGAAAGAAGAGTCCAGAACCTATCTAAAGCAGCCTTTTGGCAGTAGGCCAAATAGGTTTGGAAACCTATGTATTAGAGATTCAGCAGTTGAAAGATACACTTACATCCACTAGAGAGCACCATATACCACTAAAACATTATGCAGATAGTAATGATTGTGGCTACAACAACTGGGGGATCTGCTATGATAAAATAGCAGGGTCTGAGAACACTAATGTCATTAACTTTTGACCATGCATAAAGTAGTCTGGTGCAATTGTGAGATGTGCTACATCCAAAAGTTGATTTAAACATCCCTTGCTTGCATGCCAGTAAAGGTACCGGAACTGAAACATCCCTTGCAACAGCAACCAAAATCCGTAGCCCCCTCCCCCCAACTTCAAAGGTGAGCGAATTTATTATGGTGTTAAGTTTTCATGTAGTAGAGCCCACTTTGTTATCTGAGAACACCAGTGGGAAGAGAGGAAGGATGGGAGAAGAAGGGGGAGGAAGGTCAAGGAATACACATAAAAACAAGATTCAGACAAACAAGATTCCCCATCATTGGCATACATTTATAAAGCAAGCCAAATGGTGTGCATAAAACGCTAACTAAGGGGCCATGACTTTAGCTAGCTGGCCATTTGCTATGGCTGCAACTTCTTTTGTTTGGCCTGACTGACATCGGAGGCTTGTGGTGAGGCTGGGGGGAATGCACTGGAACAGAGTTCCAGAACCTCTTCAACAAAATTCTTTTTAAAATGTTTAAAAGTTTATGAGTTTTCAGTATACAGGCTGAACATTTCATTTCCCTCTTGAGAGTTCCGGCACCTCTTTTTCAAAAGAGAGAGAGAGAGAGGGAGAGAGAGAGAGAGAGAGCGCGCCCTGCTATTTATGACCTGACATATATAGAGAGAGAGAGAGAGAGAGAGAGAGAGAGAGAGAGAGAGAGAGAGAGAGAGCGCCCTGCTAATGATGACCACACCTTGAATTCCTTTTTTAAAAAAATATTTTACTTATAAATTTTTCACAGTATATAGTATTGCAAATAATAAACCTTATATACATTTGAGTCTATTTTTTCCATATGTTATTTGTCCATTTATATACTCTCAACCATCTTTTAAGGTGTATATTGTCATCTTTTCCTTGAATTATAAAGCTCCATTTCTCCATTTCTAACAACTTGAATGCTATTTCCTCTCTTGGAGGGGTCCTTTCTAGTTTCCAATACTTGGCTAACAAAATTTTAGCAGTCGTTAGGATATATATCAACCTATAAACATAATTTCGTTCATAATGTTCCGGAATTATGTTTAACAAAGCCGTTTCTTGGAGTTAAGACAAAGTTCATATTCATTATTTCTAATATTATCGTTTGCACCATCAACCAATAGCTATAAACTTTTCCACATTGCCACCACATATGGAAGAATGTTCCTACATTCACTTTACACTTCCAACATTTTTTTGAAGCATTAGGATGACATTTGGCTATTCTGTCAGGGGACCAATACCATCTATGAAATACTTTGTAGGTATTTTCTTTATAGTTAATGGCCCTCATATATTTAACTGTTTTCCACATTTCTGACCATTTGTCTATATCAGTACTACTTTCCCACCATGTCAGCTTTATATTATGTGAGCAGAGCAGAGTCTCCTCCGATTTTAGTTTACTGTTTTTATCTAGAAGGATATGACTTCAGTATGGGTTGGCATGTGTATGTGTGGTATGAGAAGGATAAAATACATTCAAACTTTAGACGTCATATGTTCAGAGGTGCCCTAATAAAAATTTGGAGTGACATAAAAGAAAGATATTATAGAAACATACCAAAATGGGTATCGCCATTAGAAGCATTCATAAAACCTTCCCTTATAACAAATATGATAGAGAAAATTATGAAGTGTTGCTAGATAAAAACCTTGAATTCCTTGTACACAACTGTAACACAATTGGATAGACTTCTTACCTCAGAAATCTCTGCATAATCAAACCACAACAAGGCTCTTATTTGGTTGGAGCCCCTACTCTGTAGCACCAGATGTGGCTCTTTTCAAAACAAAATGAAACCTTAAAGTATTTTGGAAGTGTAAGTGGGACGATAGAGCTGCCAACCTCCTGGTAGGGCCTGAAGATCACCAAGAATCGCAACTGATCTCCAGATGACAGAGATCAGCTCCCCTGAAGAAAAATGGCTGCTTTGAAAGGTGGGCTCTATGGCATTACCGTATATCCCACCTTTCCCCAGCTCTACCCCCACATTTCCAGGAATTGCTCTGAATCCCAGAGCCAGGGGGCAACATTGGGGAAGGCCTCTGCCTCTATACCCTGTGATTGGCCCTCCAGAGAAACTGGTTGACCACTGTATGAGACAGGATGCTGGACTAGATGGACTGCTGGTCTGATCCAGCAGGGCTCTTCTTATGTTCTTATGTTCCCCAACCCAGAGTTTGCGAGAGTTCCTTAGCCTTTCAAGCAGGGGTCATTTTGTAGAAAAAGAGGTGCAGGAGCTCATTAGCATAACTCATTAACATAACTTGACTCGAAGTGTGTCAGAAGGCAACACCCACCGCTCAGGCTCCACTGAACAGTTTTGGATTGCTAGCTATTGGGGGGGGGGAACGTGCAGATCTGTCCTCGCAGAGGAGGGAGAGCTTGTACCTGAATAAAACTTGGTCTTAAAGGTGCCACTGGACTGTTTTGGACTGGGAGCCCGGGGAGGGTTCTGCAACTTACTTGGCTGCTTCTTGCTCTGACTGAGGGCTGCTGGGAGCAAGGGGCGGGGTTTGTTGCATGTGCCCGCCCCCTGGGCTCTTTACTGCCGGAGCTCCGCTCCTGTGCGCTCCTGCAGGAAATGACCCCTGCTCTCAAGCATGTACACTATCCTGCGCCCTTGGCCAAACAGGTAGGACAAACACCCAATAAATAAATCAGTTCTGGGCATGTGCAGAAGATGCATCCCTTTCAGCTGTGGCGTCTACATATTTAGGATCAGAGGTCAGGGCTTCTGGGTCAGAGGCTGTCATGACCACCCAGATCCCCTTGCTGCTCATCCACTTTCCACCCTAGTAATTAATCCACCCAAGTAATTAATTAATCCCCGAGGCATCCCCACCTCTCCCCAGCTGACCTGCCTGAAGCGGTCTGGCCTGTTGCTTGCTGGGCTTTACAGGGCTTCGTTTCCCCCACAGATCTGCCAGGCAGCCACCCCCTCCTGCCAGGCCTAGGCCAGAAAGACAGACTCAGCACAGGGAATCAGACTCAGTAAGCAGACCTGTTAGGGAAGGGAGAAACTTCTGATGCGCATTCAATATTCTGTGAATTCACAAGTTGTCACTTTGAGACTCTGAGGGCAGAACATCAGCGAATTTCAAAACAGATCGCTGGAAGTATTTTTAGCAGTTTTCAAAGATGCATTGTGGTTTCAGCTCTCTAGTTCATACTTTGTTTGTTTGCACCTCCTTCTCACCTGTACTCACTGGTTACATTGGCCCTGTATCTAAGGTCTCGCTTACTCTCTCTTCCTGGAAGGGTTCCTGTGCCTATTAACCGTTGAATGGCCGGCACACAGTCACCAGGCAGAGCTTTCACCCTCCCTGCCACACCATGCTGGAAGAAGATGCTCGTGCTCAATTTTTGCTTACCCCCCTTGATAGGTCACACATCGTGTGATTGTTTCAGGAGCACAGCCACGTTGGTCTGTAACAGAAGAGCTGGATTCTAGTCCAGGGGCACCTTAGACACCAACAAGCTTTTTGTGGGGAGCTTTTGAGAATTCCCTTCCTCGTATCAAGGTGGAACGGCTTACTCCAGCACAACTCCTCTTCTTTGCCAATTGGCTGTCAATACAACACAAGCACCAGTACCTTGTGGCATCAACACAGTCTCCACCTTGGGCAAGTATTGGTTGTCTCCATACCCATCAATCTCCCAGCACACCAGGCAGAGGAGATTTCAGTCATCCACATGTATAAAGTGCTGGCAACACTTGTCTACCCTGGCCTGGGCCCAGTAAGCTCATCTTCCATGACTAGATGTTTCCCACCATGTTGGCCAGCTGGAAGACTGGCCAGATGCCATTGGCTTGGCATCTGGCTTTGCATTC